ATTGCAACAGTGCCATCATGTCATCCCTAGGGGAGGAAGACACAAAATCCATGCCTCGTTGTCACTCCACAAGGTGATCCAAGTATTACTCTGTGCCAAATATTTATATCTATAATAATAATAAAGTTGGAAGGGATCTTGGAGGTCATCTAGTCCAATCCCCTGCTCAGGCAGGAAACCCTACACCATTTCGGACAAATGCCTGTCCAGTCTCTTCTTAAAAACTTCCAGTGTTGGAGCATTCACCGCTTCTGGAGGCAGGTTGTTCCACTGATTAATTGTTCCTCACTGTCAGGAAGTTTCTCCTTAGTTCTAGACTGCTTTTCTCCTTGGTTAGTTTCCATCCGTTGCTTCTTGTCCTGCCTTCAGGCGCTTTGGAGAATAACTTGACTCCCTCTTCTTTGGGGCAGCCCTGAGATACTGGAAGACTGCTATCATGTCCCCCCTGGTCCTTCTCTTCATTAAACTAGACATACCCAATTCCAGCAACTGTTCCTTATATGCTTTAGCCTCCAGTCCCCAATCATCTTTGTTGCTCTTCTCTGTCCTCTTTCCAGAGTCTCAACATCTTTTTTACATCGTGGTGATATCTGTTCCTGCTTTTTATCCTGGCTTTCCCAGCTCAGATTGGGGCACATTAGCAGAAAACTCATCCTAAGCCCTCAACAAACCCAAAGAGACCAAGTTAAGCTGGCTTGTTCATCGGCACCGTCAAGACAGTCCTGGGTTTACGGCCGCATCTGGCCCCAGAACCTTTGTTGCCAATCAAGGCAGTGAATTGAATGAGTCGCGCCTGACTTTACCACCTTTTCCGCCGCTGTCGTTCAACGTGAAGTCGGTGGTCACTAAACGAATCAAAACTTCCCCCGTCGTTAAAGAAAGAAGACGGGGTGTGTTTTAAAAGATGGGATCATTTTTATCAATGGCTAGAGGTGAGAGAGAAAGGAACGTGATATGTACTACCTAACATTGAATATAGTAAGAAGACGACTGTTGAGCGATTAGCTAACATATTGTTTATAATGCAGAAATTATTATTCGTTGTTTTTTAAATACATGAAGCCAGACAACACATGCTGTTTGCTAAATATTAAGAATATTGTTTTAAAAAATCCTAACCCCAACCCCAACCCTATCCCTAATACTATAAAAATTTGTAGTTTATTTATAGTTTAAATTTATAGGGAGGAAGGAAGAAAGGAAGGAGGGAGGGAGGGAGGGAGGGAGGGAGGAAGGAAGGAAGGAAGGAAGGAAGGAAGGAAGGAAGGAAGGAAGGAAGGAAGGAAGGAAGGAAGGAAGGAAGGAAGGAAGGAAGGAAGGTCACAAATAGCCATTGGGTGATCCCGGGACATCGCAACTGTCCGTAAAGATGTTGCAATGGTCATAAGTGTGAGGAACGGTTGCAAGTTCACTTTTTATTTTTATTTTTTGTAACTTCAAACAGTTGTAAGCTGAGGGTTCCCTGTAGAAACCAGCAGAGACAGTCCTGATCCTGGGGTTTTTTTTTTTTTGTTTTAAATCTGACTATCCATTTTTCCTTTTTGCAAATGATTATTTATTCTCTGCAACCGTTCCTACAAAATCTGCCAGCTCATTCTCGCTACCGCAAAGACAGTTTCCAAGTTGATTTTTTGTACTTTTTTTTTTTTAATTGCGTGGCCTTCCTCCCCCAGCCCACCAATTTGGGGCAGGCAGATGATGTTTCAGAGCAGGTTAATAAACTTCGGAAAGAAAGAAAGAAAGAAAGAAAGAAAGAAAGAAAGAAAGAAAGAAAGAAAGAAAGGAAGGAAGGAAGGAAGGAAGGAAGGAAGGAAGGAAGGAAGGAAGGAAGGAAGAAAAAGAAAGAAAGACCTCTATATATAAACAGAGAGAAAGAGAGAGAGAGAAAAAGAAAGAAAGAAAGAAAGAAAGAAAGAAAGAAAGAAAAAAGGAAAGAAAGAAAGACCTCTATATATAAACAGAGAGAAAGAGAGAGAGAAAAAGAAAGAAAGAAAGAAAAAAGGAAAGAAGAAAGAAAGAAAGAAAGAAAGAAAGAAAGAAAGAAAGAAAGAAAGAAAGAAAGAAAGAAAAGGCAATCCGTCTTTTTTTTAAAAAAACATCCATTGCGTTGTTGTGGTTGTGAGGTTTTTCAGCTCGTGGCTCCCACCCACCCACTCACCCAGTCACCCACCAGACCCTGGGGGGGGGGGAAAGCTAACAAAAACGCCACATTTGCATAACCCTTGGAAAGAGGCAACGGGTTAAAATCATAATAGGTTAAAATCATAATAAAGTTACTTGTGAATATAATCCTTCTGCCTAGGCAATTTATTATTTTTTTGATCCTGCTTCAAAGTTGGAGGAATGAATTGTGGCCTTGAAAACAGGTGTTGAAGCTGAATCCTCCCCCTTCTCTGTCTCTCTCTCTCTGTCTCTCTCTCTCTCACACACACACACACAACACACTCACAGAGAACACACACACCCCACAGCTGTTTTGGGCTTACCACTTTGCTCATCCTCCTGATGGTTCAAAAACTCCCGGCCAGGATTTTCTCTTTGGCATCAGGAGATGCAAAGGAACTCCCCCCCCCCCTCCACAAAGTTTGTGTAGGAATTTTGAGTGAGGAAGAGGTGGTGGGATGGGGAAGCAAAACAGAAGGGATGGGGTGGTGGTGGTGTTGCAAAACGTTTGGAGGTCTCAGGAGCCAAGCAAGGGGTTTTTTTTTGAGGGGGGGGGGACCTATTTGAAGAAGAGTTTTACTACCCCTCTAGTAAATTAGTCTGTGTTGAATGCCAGAAAAGGTTTTATTAGTATTATTAGCCCACCAGTAGATTTATAAGGTGGTGTGAAAGCCACTTTCACCAGAGCTTTTTTTAAAAAAATTCCTGTTGAAAAGAAAAGAAAGAAATGGAGAGGGAAGGAAGGAAGGAAGGAAGGAGGGAGGGAAGAAGGGAATGAGGAGATGAGAATGAAAATTAGGAAAGGGAAGGAAGGAGATGAGAATGAGAGGAAGGAAGGAAGGAAGGAAGGAAGGAAGGAAGGAAGGAAGGAAGGAGGAAGGGAAGGAGGAGATGAGAATGAAAATTAGGAAAGGGAAGGAAGGAGATGAGAATGAGAGGAAGGAAGGAAGGAAGGAAGGAAGGAAGGAAGGAAGGAAGGAAGGAGGAAGGGGAAGGAGGAGATGAGAATGAAAATTAGGAAAGGGAAGGAAGGAGATGAGAATGAGAAGAAGGAAGGAAGGAAGGAAGGAAGGAAGGAAGGAAGGAAGGAGGGGCAGAAAGGGAAGGAAGGAGGGAGGGAGGAAGCAAGGAAGGAGATGAGAATGAGAAGAAGGAAGGAAGGAGGGAGGGAGGAAGGAAGGAAGGGAAGGAGGAGATGAGAATGAGAGGAAGGAAGGAAGGAAGGAAGGAAGGAAGGAAGGAAGGAAGGAAGGAGAGGCAGAGAGGGAAGGAAGGAGGGAGGGAGAAAGCAAGGAAGGAGATGAGAATGAGAGGAAGGAAGGAAGGAAGGAAGGAAGGAAGGAAGGAAGGAAGGAAGGAAGGAAGGAAGGAAGGAAGGATTTCAACGGGTGAGCAACACTTCCCAACAGAAATTGTGCTCTCTCTCTCCTTCAAGAAGGTATTTTTTACATGAAAGGGCAGAGATTTCAGGACAAGCAGAATCGGGTGGCCTGTTAGCCAATGAAACCTCCAGGCACAGGGGCAGTCTACCCCCAAATAGGGAAAGGGATACAGAGAAAAAAAAAAAGAAGGGTCAGGGTCTGGCCTTGCACTGGGGAGAACAGGAATTGGGGGTAGAGCAGGCAAACTCCACCGAGAGGGGAGGGTCTCTCCCCAGGCCACAAACCATGGTCAACACGAATTCACACACCCCTTTCTACTCTTCTGGCTAGCTCTCCAAATGCGTTGGACGCGAGCTTGCAGAAGGAGTCCTCTTTCCTTGGACCACAGCCTGTCCTGGAGATGCACACTCTTTTATGGACACGCACAAACACAGGTCGCACAAACACACAGGTCGATTTCTCCTTCCTCTCCTACAAAAATAGCAGCTACAGCTGGCCCTCTCCAGCTGGCCCTCTCCAGGTGTGTGGCAACATCTGGAGGTCCCTGCTGGGTCTCAGACCCTGTCCTTGAGCTCTCTTTCTGGGGGAGACCTTGCCCCCCCAAGGCTGGACCCTCCCCCCCCAACTTCAGAGCCCAAGAAGTGCCCCCTCCCCCTGCCCTCCCCCTGTTCCCCATCCATTGTTGACTCGGCATATCAAGCCTGGGGACCAGCTGGTCACACAAAGCGCACCCCGTAAAGTTCCCCCATTCACACATGGGGAAACAGAAGCACACCCCATTCACACATGGGGAAACAGAGGCACACCCTATCTCAGGAAAGGACCCCCCCGCCCCCCGGTTCTCCAGATGTCTCCTCTGAGGCTGCTTTACAAAGAAAACCCAGTAATGCTCCCAGTTCAAACTCCCAGCACTGGCTCCAACCAAGGGCTCTCCCCAGGAAGCTCCATGCTCCCCAGCCAGTGAGGCTGGGGACAATGGGCTTTCTGGCCTGAGACAGAACCAGGGAAAGAGGGGGTCACCCTTCCCCTAAGGCTGCTTTAGAAAGAGAACCCAGCTGGGCCAGTCACGGTCCCACGTCAAGCTCCCAGCACTGGCTCCAACCCAGAGCTCTCATCCCAGGACGCCCCATGCTCCTCAGCCAACGAGGCCGGGGATGATGGGCTTCCCGACCCGAGACCGCTGCAGAAGCTGCCCCAAGGGCTCTCTCCCAGGGGAAGCCCCGTGCTGCCCAGCCAGGGAGGCAGGCTGGGGACGATGGGCTTCCTGGCCTGAGACCGCTGCAGAACCTGCGTTAAGCCCCACGCGCCCCAGCCAGTCTGGGATGCTTGGGGAACGTGGGGGGGGGAGAAAGTCCCCTGCAGTGCTGCTTTTGGGGGGAGAGGGTCTCCCTCCCTCCCCTCCTCCCTCCCCAACCTCGCACACAGTGTGTGTGTGTGTGTGTGTGTGTGTCTCACCTCCAGCTCTTTGAAGAAGATGCAGCTGCGAGCCCACTCCACGATGGCGAAGAGGGTCTGGTCGGCCATCCTGCACAGAAGCCCGAAGGTGCTCAGCTTCTCAGGCCGCCCTTTGCTCTGCTCCTGCTGCTGCAGGCAGCTCAGGATGCGCTCCTTCAGCTGCCCCTCGTCCACTTCCAGCTGCAGCAGCTTCAGCATCACTTCGGGCACGTCCAGCGCCGTGGCGGGCGAGACCCCACCGCCGCCGCCCCCGCCGCCTCCTCCCGGATAGGGCTCCGGGAAGGGGTAGGCAGGGCCGGCCTCGTGAGGAGGGGGGGCGGCGTAGGGCTCCGGGAACTCGGACTTGATGGCCCGGCTGGCGAAAGGAGGGTAGTGGTAGCCCGAGAGGGCCCCGGGCCCCGGTGGGCCGGGGGCGGCCAGGGCGGGGGTCCCGTAGGGGCTGCGCTGGTAGTCGATCGGGGTCATGGCAGCGGCGCTGGGCGGCGGCAGCCCCTTGGCCGGCCCGGCCGGGGGCTGGTGGTGACCCCCCAAGCCTTGCAAGGAGGGCGGCAGACCCCCGTAGTCCACCGCCTGCACGGGCGAGACGATGGGGGGCGGCGGGGGCACCGTCTCCAGCTTGAAGCCGTTGGCCCGGATCAGCGCCTTCTTCTGCTGCTTCAGCGCCCGGTCCCGCTTGTACATCGGGCCGAATTTGTTCCGCCCGCCGCGCATTCGGTCGGCGCGCACGGCTGCAAGGAAGAGGAGCAGCGGAGAGGGGTCGGGGGGGGGGAGAGGAGGCCGACGGAGACCCCCCCCTGCCCGTCGGTGGGGGGGGGGACTTGAGCGGAGAAGGGCTCCCCCCCCTGCCTCTCAAGGGGGGGGGAGGAGGATGGAGAGCAGCCCCAGAGGAAAGAGCCCTGGCGAACGGGACGTTGCTGTTTGGCAAGCACCCCGACGAGCCTCTGGCTTCGCCGGCTTTTCCCCAGTGGTGTGTGTGTATGGGGGGGGGGGCTCCTCGGCCTGGCCTTGCTGCTCCCCACCCACCAAGTCCCCGGCGGGTTCTCAAGGCCGCGGCCGCCTTGCAACAAGACGGGGCTGCCTCCCCCGACATGGGGAGTCCGGAGCGCTTTTGCGCAAGAGGCCTCTCCGTTGCCTGTCCGGCTCTCCTTCCCCCCCCCCCCCGCCAAACAGAGCCATGAAGATTGGGGAATTGTGGGGAGGGGGGAACAGAGAGAGCGAGCCGAGAAGTTCCTTGCGGGGGGGGGAGAAAAAGGGGGGGCGGAAAGGCGAAGGGAACACCCTCAATGTAAAAAGAAGTTTTCCTTCTACAGTTCCTCCAGGCGCAGCGAGGCGGGGAAGGAAAGAAATTGAGGGGGGGGCGCCCCCCCCCACGTCCTCCCCAGCGCAGGTGAAGGGCGCAGGGCACCCTTCCCCCTCCTTCAAATGAGCGCCTGCCCTGCTCTATGGGTCTTCCCCCCCCCCAGTCCCCGGAGCAGCAGCCCTGATTGCACCCCGCTTCAAGGCTCGCGTCCACACGACGCGTTTCCCCGGGCTGCTCCCAAGCGTGGGTTGTTTTTTTTTTTTCTTTCCTTTCCTCCCTCCCCCCCCCCAGTGGAAGATTCAAGGTTTCCCCCAGCTGCCTTGGCGCCTCCAAAAAAGGAGCGGACCACCAAAAAAAAAAAAAAGGAGCCCGCCCATGGTTTTCGGGGCTCAAAGAAACCTTCCCCCGTTTTTTTAATGTCTCGGGGAGTTCCAAAGGCAGGAATAGGGCTGGGTCAACCCCGATTCGTTGAGCGGCAGTGAAGCTCTCGTCCAGAGAGGGGTGGGGGGGGCACCCAGGGCCTCTCTCGGAAAGAGAGCAACTTTGGACGGGAGTGTCTATGGACATTCTCAGTCTTCCAGGCCACGGTGGTCGCAAAGGGCCCTTTTTTTAAAAAAAAAAAGGCAACTGGACTTTTCTTGAAGACCTTTCGCTTCTCATCCCAGAAGCTTCTTCAGCTCTGACTGGATGGCGGTGGGGGGGGGGAATGGAAGGATTTATACCCCTTGCAGACCGCTGGTCACTAAAAGAAGGACCAAAATAAAGGAGCAGAGGTCTGCAAGGAGTATATAAATCTTTCCCTTCCCCCCCCCCACCATCCAGTCAGAGCTGAAGAAGCTTCTTGGGACCCAGAAGCGAAACGTCTTCAAAGAGAGAGAGAGAGAGAGAGAAAAGAAGAAGAAGAAGAAGAAGAAGAAGAAGAAGAAGAAGAAGAAGAAGAAGAAGAAGAAGAAGAAGAAGAAGAAGAAGAAGAAGAAGAAGGAAGGAAGAAGAAGAAAGGAGGAGGAGGAGGAGGAGGAGGAGGAGAAGAAGAAGAAAGGAGGAGGAGGAGGGAGGAGGAGAAGAAGAAGAAGAGGAGGAGGAGGAGGAGGCGGAGGAGGAGAAGAAGAAGAAGAAGAAGAAGAAGAAGAAGAAGGAGAAGGAGAAGGAGAAGGAGAAGGAGAAGGAGAAGGAGAAGGAGAAGGAGAAGAAGGAGAAGAAGAAGTCGTCTAGTTGCCTCTGAAAGAAACACTTTGGGACGTTTCCAGTGTCCTAAACATGGGCAGAGTGCCTGGCCTTCTCTCACCTCCAGCCCATCCCCAAACGTTTGGGGGGACCCTGTTGGGGGGGGGGATCCAGGCGAGAAATCTCGGCCAGATTGCCTGCCTTCCTCCCCCCCCCCACGCCGCTTTCTCCCGTCTGGGGAAGCACTTTCGTTTTCTCTGCTTTTCCAAGGCCGTCTGGCCGCCGGCGCAGCTGAGTTGCTTGCCTGCCCACGTCCACCCGGGAAGAGGGGACAGAAACCCACCTGGCTGCCCTCCGTGGGAGTAAAGCTAGAGGGGCTCTCCCTCCTTCTCTCGCCCCTCCCCAGCGAAGGCAAGGACGCCCCCCCCGCTCCCCCCCCCAAGGCAGACCCCAGAGCGCTCACCTTCCAGTCGCATCCCCACGGCCAGGCACTTCTGGAAACGGCAGTAAGGACACCTTTTCCGCTGCGTCTTGTCGATCTTGCAGTTCTGGGTCTCGGTACACGTGTAGTGCTTGTTGTTCTGCACGGTTCTCTTGAAGAAGCCCTGGGGGAGAGAGGGAGACGGGAGGGAAGAAGGAAGGAGCGCAAGCGGGCGCGGGAAACGACCCTCTCCTAGATAGGGGGGGGGTTTCAGCGCCCCCACCCCAATCTGGAAAACCCCCTTATCTGGGGATTGAAACCCCAGATTCCCCTGGTCTGTCCCGGGAGCAGAGGGTCCAAAGACCCCCTTAGATCCCCCAAACGAACCACCGCGAAGCCCGAATCGGTTTGGCTGCGGCGCCGTTTCATGTTTTATCTTTTCTTCGTGGGAACATCATAAATAATAATAATAATAATAATAATAATAATAATAATAATAATAATAATAATAAATTATATATTATATTATGATAATATAATATATAATATATTATATTATGATAATATAATAATATTCTGCTGTCTCCAGGCACTGCCACGTCCAAAAGTCTGGATAGTGGACGTGGCAGTGCCTGGAGACAGCAGAATAGACGAGAAAGAACTGGAGAAGATCACAAAATACAAAGACCTACAAATAGAAAGAGAAAGACTGTGGCAAAAGCAAGCAAGGGTGGTACCAATAGTCATAGGCTCCTTGGGTGCAATCCCAAAACAACTGGAGCACCACTTGGACACCATCATCGACATTGACAAATTCGCTATTAGTCAATTGCAAAAGGCGGCCTTACTAGGAACTGCTTCCATCCTGCGACGATACCTGTAATACCATCAAACATCCACATCTGCCTATCCCAGGTCCTGGGTAAGGACTCGATAGGTAGACCAAATGCCAAATCCAGTCTGAACATCTGGCTGACTGTGCGATGATCCATAATAATAATAATAATTTTAGAAAGTTTGCCGGCGTGTCAACGCAGTCCAAAGTCTCAAGCCCGGCTCTGGATACAATTCCACAGCTCACTGTAAAACTGGTTCAAAAAAAACCGTGTCCCCCGTTTTTTTTGGGGGGGGGACACGTCCTCAAGGCATCCAAATTCACACAGATTCACACAATTTAACACGGGACATTTTTACGGAAATTATTTAGGCTGGCCTGACCGACCTACTGCTCCCTCTCCTCGTATTATCCTCACCCCAGCCCTGCGAGGTAGGTTAACCTGGAAGAGTAGCCAAGCGTGAGCCCCATGCAGGGAATTCCAGTCCCTGCAGGAATTCAGCCGTTCGTTCTCTGGCCTCAGTGCCCATCCGTGAAATGGGCTTATAATTCTGGCCTCAGTGCCCATCCGTGAAATGGGCTTATAATCCTGGCCTAACTGGAAGGACCGGTTGAACAGGTTGTGACAACAATGCAAAAACTGTTGGCTGGTTAATCCCAAAGATGCCTTTTTTTTTCCCCCCCTCCGCGAGGCAACTGGAGTTTCTTGTTTTCTTTTGAAGACGTTTCGCTTCTCGCCCAAAGAAGCTTCTGAAGAAGCGAAACGTCTTCAAAGAAAAACAAGAAAGTCCAGTTGCCTCGTAGACGGGAAAAAAAAAATTAAAAAAAGCATCTTGGGGACAAGGTTGACCGGATGACTGAGAATCTTCGTAGATATTGACTTGTTAATCGTTGTAATTATTTAAAATAGCGTTATCACTATGAACCCGAGGTTCTTTCTAAGATGGCGCGCCTTAATAAGAAATTATTCCATTGACACTAACGTGCGAATTCCTGTTTTAATACGACCCCCACGATCTCCAGATTTCCCACGCTTCGTAAAAAAAAACAACCACGCGCTCCGTTCTCCTTTCTTTCCCTCGCCCACCCCTCAAATCCAAGGGCGAGGATCCTCTCCCGACCAGGGGCGACCATTTTCACGACCCTCCCCAAACTGGAGAATCAACCCTCTCCTGTCCCCAAACCGCATGAAAATAGCCAAAGGAAGAAAAACAAGCTATTTATTTTTTCTGTAAAGGCCCCGCGTTGATCTTAAAATGAAGGCGACCCGCGTTTTAAGGGGACAGACAGTCCCCTTCTTAAAAGTGGGGAGAGGTCGTTTGGGGACGGGGCTTGGTTGAAGGACACAGTCACTTCTTCTCCCCCAGCCCATTTCGAAGCGCCCGGTGTAAAAAAACCCCTCGATCAGAATTAAACTAGAAATAATAATAATAATAATAATAATAATAATAATAATAATAATGGGAAGGATTTTTCCGCATTCACCCCCCTCCCCATAATAATAATAATAATAATAATAATAATAATAATAATAATAATAATAATGGGAAGGATTTTTCCGCATTCACTCCCCTCCCCATAATAATAATAATAATAATAATAATAATAATAATAATAATGGGAAGGATTTTTCCGCATTCACCCCCCTCCCCATAATAATAATAATAATAATAATAATAATGGGAAGGATTTTTCCGCATTCACTCCCCTCCCCATAATAATAATAATAATAGTAATAATAATAATAATAATGGGAAGGATTTTTCCGCATTCACTCCCCTCCCCATAATAATAATAATAATAGTAATAATAATAATAATAATGGGAAGGATTTTTCCGCATTCACCCCCCCTCCCCAAATTAAATTCCCTCTGCCCCTCTGAGGCCCAAAGAAACCCAGGGAGACCCCCCCCCGCGCGGCCCAGTTCGGAGCCTCGGAGCGCCCCAGTTCGGCAGACCCTCCGAGGGACGAGCGGCGGGGGGGGGTCGCGGAAGCCCAGAAAAGGGGGCCGACTGCCCACCGGTTGGCTTTCGTTTCTAACCAGAAGGCGCCATTTCTCTCCCTATTTCCCATCTCAAAATATTTAGGAAAATGCTGAACAGAGCAAAAAAAGACCACCTTCCTTTCTTCAAACGCGAAATTAAACTCGCGGGGTTTCATTGCCCCCTCCCCCCAATACACACACACACACACACACACACACACACACACACATATATACACACACACACATATACACACACACATATATATATATGCGGGTGTTTGTATGTAGGTCTTTGGTTGTTCGGGTTTTCTCCAGCGTAAAAATTCCAATTTTACGCGGGAGAAAACCCGAACAACCAAAGACCTACATACATACATACATACATACATACATACATACATGTTAAAAAGGAGAAAAAGTGACTGGCAGCGTCTCTTCCGCGTTCTTGGAATGCCGTTCCCTTCCTAGGCTGCAGATGGAGAACCGGAGGAGTTGGATTCAAACAGATTCTCCCCTCCGTTTCTTTCCTCCTCCTCCTCTCTCTCTCTCTCTCTCTCTGTTTCTCTCTCTCCTATTTTTTTTTCCTCCATCCCTTCGTCTTCTTTTCCAAAGATAAAGAACTTTCCATTCTTTCTCCCTCCCTCTCTCTCTCTCTCTCTCTCTTTTTCTCTCTCTCTTCCCAGAAAAATCTTTCCGAACGAAGCGGCGGCGGCGTCAGGAAAGAAGGCTGGAGTGACGCCGGATTGAGGCTCGCTACTGCTGCTGCTTAACCGACCCCGGAAAATAAATAAATGGGGGGGGGGGCTCATTTTAACATCTGGATCTCTAAAGCGGTTTTTTTTTTTTCCCCCTTCCCGGTTCGGAGGAATTGACGCCCGGTTTTTTTTTTTTGTTGTTGTTGTTTTTTAAAGAAAAGAAAAAAAAAATCAGAGAAGAGCCGAAATTCGTTGGGAACTGGCCGGAATTTTGAATTCCGAAAAGAAATCGACGGGTTTTCGGTCCTGCAGCGCGAAAGGGTCCCCCCCGAAAGGCCGAGCCCAGCCCGCCGAGGCACGGAATCGCCCCGAAAACGAATTCGAAGCTAAATTCTAGAATTCTACATTCTTAAGAATTCTAAATAAAAAACGAAATCGAACACATTCCGCGCAGAGGCCGACCGCGCGGCCTTCGCTTCGACCCAGCGGCGAAAAACATCTGCTTTAAAACACACACACACACACAGACACACCAAATTAAACCAACCCACCGAGGCGGAGGTTTTGGGGTTTTTTTTTTGCTGCTCAGGCGTGCAATTGGACCAGCCAAATTATATTTAAAAAACAAAAACCCGAAGCCTGCCAGCGAGTGCCGAAGGCCGATTATGAATATTAAATTCGGATTATTCTTCTTCCTATTCTTTCTTTGCCGTCAAGAGGGCCGGATCCGACGCGTAAATGGCTCCGGGGCTTTTGGCTTTGGAGCCCGGCCTTCCTTTTGCTCGCCAACTCTTCTCCCATTCGTGGGGGGGGGGAGGAATAAAGACTCCCCCCCCCCAAAATCTTCTTCCTCTCCGCCCTCCGAAACTCAGAAGCCGCCGGGGGGGGTCTCTTTTGGGGTGCCAGGGGCATTCAGCGACCCTCCTCCCCATTTTGCTGGCCGACATTGACTATGATAATTCCGGGGGGGGGGCTCTGCCTTCCCGCCCCCCCCCGCCCGCCCCTACAGCCCCCTCCCCAAGGACCTACCTTGCAACTTTCGCAGGTCAGCAGTCCGTAGTGGTAGCCCGAGACTTTATCCCCGCACACGGGACACAGTTCGTCCAGGTCTTCGTCGTAGGAATAATCCATCACCTCCGCGGGCCTGCGGGGGGGGGGAGGGAAGGAGAAGAGCCGGGGCAGCGCCTGTCCGGGACCTCCCCGGCCAAAAAAGGGAGGGGAGAGGGAGGGTGCCCCGACGAGCGGCGGCCAGAGAGAGTGGGGGGCAAGCGGGCAAGCGGGCAGCTTTATAGCCGCGCGGAGGTGTGCGCCCGCTTGCGCCTCCGCACCGCTTCTTGGGCGGGCGGGGACGCCAAGGGAGCCCCCACCCCACTCCACCCCACCCCCGGGGAAGGAGGGCACTGAGATGGCTCCCGCGGGGGGGGGGCGGGCTCGGCCAGAGTCCACCCCTCCCCTCTACCCCCACCCACCAGCACCCAGCCTCCGCCTCCTCGTTTCTGCCCCCAGGTCGAGGGGGGGGCAGGGTCGCTTCTGCCTTCCTCACCCCCACCCCCACGGAATCAGAGCCCCGACGGAGCGCACCGGCCGCTCCAGGCAGTCTGCAGAGAGGCTGCGAGGCTGCGGGGGTGCTCGCTCTCTCTCCCTCCCTGGGGGGGGGCTGGGCTGGCTTCCCCACCACCACCACCCCGGGGCGCCTGGGCCCTGCGCTCCGAGACCCCACGCGGGTTCTTCTTGATGGACGGAACCCCGTTTACCCCACTGAGCCGCTTCCGAGGGGGCTTGCCATGCACCTTCAGCCGAGCGGTGCCTGGACTGGTCTAGACTCGGGTAAAAAGGCGCTTGTGGCTCGGGCTAAGACCGGGTGAATGGAGATTGGAGAGGCCCGTCTCGCGGGGATTTCGCCCACGCCAGAAAAGTAAACCATCAGCGCTCGCTTCGGCAGCAGGCATGCTGAACGTTGGAACGATCCGGAGAAGAAGAAAAGCCGACCTTAGACACACACACACACACACACAAACGCACACACACACACACAGAGGCAAGCACCCACACAAACCTGGCCCCTGACTTTCTGCCCCTCCCCCGGGTGACCAACTTCCCCTTTCAGCTGCCTCCGTGGGGGGTTGGCACACAGCCCCCATCACTCCGGGTCAAGAGCTGGAAACGTCAGGATGGAAACCGTAGTCCGGAGCCTTCGGGGCCGGGCAAGGCAAGGGGTTCAGGTAGCCTAAGAGATTTCTCCATCGAGTGGCTGGAGGGGGGGGGGACTCTGACTCTTCGCCCCACCCTTTGCCAAGGTGTTCTGAAGCCTTCTTCTTTTCCTTCCGTGGAAGAAAGGTGGAATAAAGGTGCGTTAGAGCTAGGACATCTCCTAGGAGAGAGAGGAAGGAAGGGAGGGAGGAAGGAAGGAAGGAAGGAAGGAAGGAAATAGGAAGAGGGAGGGAGGGAGGGAAGGAAAGAAGGAAGACAGGAGAATGAGGGAGGGAAGGAAGGAAGGAAAGAATGAAGGAGAATGAAGGAGGAGGAAGAAGGAGGGAGGGAAGGAAGGAAATAGGAAGGGGGAGGGAGGGAAGGAAGGAAGGAAAGAAGGAAGGAGAATGAAGGAGGAGGAAGAGGGAGGGAGGGAAGGAAGGAAATAGGAAGGGGGAAGGAGGGAAGGAAGGAAGGAGAATGGAGGAGGAGGAAGGGGGAAGGAGGGAGGGAAGGAAGGAAAGAAGGAAGGAAGGAAGGAAGGAAGGAAGGAGAATGGAGGAGGAGGAAGGGGGAGGGAGGGAAGGAAGGAAATAGGAAGAGGGAGGGAGGGAAGGAAGGAAGGAGAATGGAGGAGGAGGAAGGGGGAGGGAGGGAGGGAAGGAAGGAAAGAAGGAAGGAAGGAAGGAAGGAGAATGGAGGAGGAGGAAGAGGGAGGGAGGGAAGGAAGGAAATAGGAAGAGGGAGGGAGGGAAGGAAGGAAGGAAGGAAGGAAGGAGAATGGAGGAGGAGGAAGGGGGAGGGAGGGAAGGAAGGAAAGAAGGAAGGAGGAAGGGACAAAGTCTAACGAATTCTATAATTTTTGGGTGCCCTTGAACAGGAAGGAAGGAAGGAGAATGAGGGAGGAAATAGGAAGGGGGAGGGAGGGAGGGAAGGAAGGAAGGAGAATGAGGGAGGAAATAGGAAGGGGGAGGGAGGGAGGGAAGAACTAGAGTTATACCCTGAGAGAGGGGGGGGGGAGAGAAGGGGGCAAAACACACATCCGCACAGACAAACACTTCCCAAACGGCTTAAGTCTTAACAGAATCAGCTCTGGCGTTCAGGGTTAATTGTATCACACCAGGCAAGAAGTCACAAAGCCCTATTGTTGGTCTGAACCAACAATAGAGAAAACAGGGAGGGCAGGGGTGTGTGTGTGTGTGTGTACTTCCTCTTCTGCCCTCCCCCACGATGGAATTTCCCGGAGGGGGGGGCGGAGAAGCGCTCCGAGGTGCAGGACAGCACCAGCCCCCCCCCTCAGAATCTTGCAAGGGAGAGGTAAGAGAAAGGAGGAATCTGCTGACTTAAGGGGGAACACGTGGGGGGGGAGAATGGAACAAACGCCCCCCCCCCCAAGTGCGATGGATGCTCAGGAAAACTCACAACTCTTACAAGGGCGGTGGGGGGGCAGGCGTCGTCATGAGCTTCCATTGGTGCAAAGAAGGATTGTTTCCGCCCTGCAGCCTTTGAGCCCTGGGATGGGATCCTCGAAAGGTCATCCAAACGCTTCCGAAGGCTCTTGTGTGCCCACTGCTGCCTTCAGCGTTGCTCCTGCTTCTATCTTGGCATCAAACTCTGGGGGTGCTTTTGCTGGCCCAGCAAAGGCAAATATTCCCCGTACAAGTCCCCAATTTTTGCTCCTGGGCCCTGAGTCACACATCCCCCTGTGTGTGTGTGTGTGTGTCTGTCTGTCTGTCTGTCTGTCTATCCGTGAGGGTGCCCACAACGCTTTGCTTTTCCTTCCCAAAGGCTCCGGCGACAGAAGACAATCGGATCCCCCTAACTTCCTTGCCAGCCCGCCGAGAGAGCTAGCAGCCGTGGAAAAGCTGCTGGAGGAGGAACAACAGACCCCGGTGGAATCGAAAGCAAACTCAGGCGAGTAAACTAAGAGAGCCTTGCCTCCTCTCCTCCTCTCCGGCCAGGCCAGGCCAGGCCAGCCTCTTTAGAGGTCCAAAGATGGGGAGCCTTTACGCCTTCATCCCCCCTACGGGAGGCAGCCTTCTTCAAATCTGCGCACCTTGAAAGCTACCTCCTCAAGGAGCTGGCTGCAAGGAGTATGATTGCGCTGCGGGGACAGAGGCCGTCCTGGTGGCGGGGAGCGGGCACTGCTTATATTTACACCCAGACACACACACACACACACACACACAAAAGTGCAAGTCACAGTCTTGCACAATCCCCCTCCAGGTGAAGGCGCCTTTGCATTGAGGCTCCGTGTGGGGAGGGGGCACTCCTCACTCTCCCCCCCCCCCCCCGCCTCACATTGTCTTTCCTCGGGGCAGGCAGCCGTTCGGGAAGGAAGCATTTCCTGCATGTAAACGCAGCCTCCTCCTCCCCTGGAGGGGAAATGGGAGACAAGCAGAAGCCTCAAACCCTGTGGCAGAGGAATGAATGCTTGTTTAGTGCTGGAACCAGGGTAGCTGGGGAGAGGCAGAGTGCCCCTAAACATAGGCAGAGTGTAGCTCCTTCAAGGCCAGCCTGAAGCCTGCAAGGCTGAACCTTGGAAGAAGTAGACAACTTTAGGCCAATTTTTAGGTTTGCATCTGGGAAGGGACTGCCCAGATGTGCAGTCAGTTGGAAGGGTGCTTGAGGGGCAGTCCAACATCTGGAAAACTACAGGCAGCAGCCGCCAGCCTTAGCTTGGTCAAAAAGATGGCGTTGGCCTTCAACAAACTTTGCAGAGAGCATGTATGGTAATAGAGGGGAATAAGTCTAGAACAGGGGTCCCCAACCCTCATCCGTGAACCGGTACTGGGCCGTGGCATGCCAGCAACCGGTCCGCACAGACAAGCCAAGCCCCATCCGCGGGATGCAGGCAGCACACAAAACCACGCACCCTCCTGTCCGCGGAAAAGCTTCTCTCCACGGAACCGGTCCCCAGTGCCAAAAGGTTGGGGACCTCTGATCTAGAACAACGGACACCAAAATTGTCCCCTCTGTTCCTCTGATGTCCCCTATGCGTGGAATTCAAGAGAGACCCAGGCCAAAATGTTACCCCATCTTCTTTTTGACCATCCCACAAGACCTCAGAAGAGGAAGCCAAGTCACGCTGAAACTGACCGGCCCTGGTCAGTTTGCAGAAATCAATAAGCTTCCATCTGACGGGAAGACTCCTGCTCTAATGCCCGAGAGAGTAAGAATAACTGCTCAGGGCCTCCTTCTGAAGGAAAATCTGGATTTTCACAGAACGATTTGGAGAACTGTGGACAACGAAAGAATACACCAAATTCCCGAAAAGCCACATGACTTCTCTCTTTCCCTGTCTCCAAACATAAGAGTTAGGAATTCTGCTATCCCAAAGCCAAAACCAAAAGCAGGCTGGGTGACCTCTAAGACCTTTCTTTGGGGGACTAAAAGAGTTTTTCCTCAGTTTACAAGGAACCTTGTAAGGTCTTTTGGACTCTGGAATTTGTCATGGAGTGAAAAAGGACAATCCACTACAACAACAAAGCAACCGGTCCCAGCCTCATCCATTTCTAGCAGGCCTTCTCATCTACACATTCACCTGAAAAATGGAGGTCTCAAAACATTATCTGCTTGCAGCGCTAAGATGTGAGTAGGGTCACTTTCTGTATTTGGGGGGAGATTGGTGCGTGCTCTCTACCAAGAGAGCAAAAACACCCTGATGCTGCTGGCGTTCAAATTCATGCGTCTGAGCCCAGCATCCCCTTTTTCTAAACAAAACTTTCCCTCCCCCTGTCAGAGCAGGTTGTGGAAGCGAGACTTGTTGGGACCCACCATGGAAACTTTGTCAGGGAAAGTTCCTCCTGATCAGCTGGAGAAGAAGGTAGCCCCGATGGTGGGGGAAGAACAGAACTGGCAGATTCCAAGTCTCCCCAAGTAAGGAAGAGACCGTGGAAGGATTCTACTTCCAGTTCAACCTATTCAGGAGGTGAGATCTTCTTCCAGGCCACGGCCGGCCTAAATGGAGAGATTGTCCGACAATGCCACCAGCTCTCCGTCCCACCTCACCCCTAGCTAGAGACAAGGAATTATCATTGCAGAAGTAGATAAAAGTACAATTGTTGAAATGACCTTGGCAGTGGCTGTTATCAATCACTTACTTGGAAAGTAGCCCTTGGATTCTCTCTCTTTTTCTCTCCCCGGCTGATGATTCCACCAGCTTCTCCTTAGCTGTGAAGTTCTCCAAGAGTGAACGTGGCGCAAGGCCAAAGCCTTGGAATTCGGGTCTTAATCCGGATGGAGCCACATGGAGTCCACTTTTGCAACCGGCTCGGGATCCCCCACTGCCAGGTAGAATCTGTGGACGCGCCGGTCCAGGCAATCGCAGCCTTTTGCCGAACACTCGTCCAGTCCCCGCCTTCATATGGTGACCATGGTAGGGTTGAAATTCTTGCTTCATTGGCTTCCTCCATGGCCACGTGACGGTGTTAGCAACAGAAGAAAAAAAAAAAGAACCAGAAAGAAGAAAAAAAAAAACAGAAAGAAGAAGAAGAAATGAAATTAAGATACAAAACACTGTTCATAAACCAGCATCAGAATGTGGCAGCTGAGAAGATAAAGAGGACCTTTGCCATAGATAAAGCAACACAAGAACGAAAGTTGTTAATAGATGGTTGAGGGAGGGGCCCTCTGTGGACAGAGAACATTAAAAAAAATAGGGGGGGGGAGGAGGGAGGGAGTGGATTTATTGCCGTGGTCCTGCTGGCCTGGACAGTTTTTCTTTCTTCTGCTCACCAACTCAGAGTTGGAAGACAGGAGTTTTATCCCATCCTGGTTCACCCACCACGGAGGCCACAGAGATGTCAGACCTCCATTTTGGCTCTTGTGAGCTGCTTGAGGGGTGTGTGTGTGTGTTTTGTCTGACTGCAGACCTGCCTTGTTTTTAAACCGTCTCTTTGGCAGAAATGCTCCCCTGCGCAAAGGCAGTTGCGATGCATCCATCAACCAAGAAAAAAGAAAAAAGAAAATTGTGCACAAATGCATCCAAGCTATATCTGGGTTGGAGGTGCCCACAAGCTGGTAGGTCACTTTGCAAAAGGTCTCTGGGGAGGGGGGCTTGCAAGTTCAAAGGGTAATTTTTTTTAGAAGGGGCGAAGAATGGTGTGCCCTACCAACATTTGTAAAAAAAAAAAAAAAAAACCCTCCCGGGCACCAATGGAGACGTGGCTAGGAGGCCCACCAGAATGCATCCAGATGTGGTCCAAGGGATGGAGCAATGGCCCTTGCGATGGGGAAAAATGAGAAATGGAACCAAGTCAAGGATGGGCAGGTCTTCTCAGGCTTAGCAGAACATGGAGAAGGATCTACTAGGATGGGAAGACTAGGAAGGATGGTGGCCATCTTCCAGAAGGTCATGGTGAACCCAACCATCTCGGAGAGAACGTTACAATGTCCTAATGTGACTTCACAATGTCCGAAAATTCAGGTATTTCTACCTGAGTGGAATCTAGGCTAATCCAGAGTGAGTTCTGCCTCTTCTCAACTTCATCGCAGATCTTAGGAGAACCTCAAAGATCATTCAGTCCAACTTCCAAGCCCAAGGAGGAGACGATTGTTCCAAAAATCCAGCCGGGATCTCCTTGTTTCACCACTGCCAGGTTTTAATAATCAGAATGTTCTTCTAAACATTTCACGGACATTCTTCTCCTTGTCCCTTGTATGGCTGCGGGACTTGGGTGTGGCTTGTTTAAAGAAAAGAAGAAAGAGGGGAGACATGATAGCAGCGTTCCAGTATCTGAGGGGCTGCCACCAAGAAGAGGGGGTCACGTTATTCTCCAAAGCACCAGAGGGCAGGACAAGAAACAATGGATGGAAACTGATCAGAGAGAGAAGCAACCTGGAATTAAGGAGAAACTTCCTGACAGGGAGGACAATTAACCAGTGGAACAGCTTGCCACCAGAAATTGTGGGTGCTTCGTCCCTGGAGATTTTTAAGAAGAGGCTAGACAGTCACTTGTCTGAGATGGTATAGGTCCTCCTGCTTGAGCAGGGAGCTGGACTAGAAGACCTCCAAGGTCCCTTCCAGCTTCTATTCTATTCTATTCTATTCTATTCTATTCTATTCTATTCTATATCCTTATTCTATTCTATATTCTATATTCTATATTCTATATCCTTATTCTATTCTATTCTATTTTCTATTCTATTCTATTCTTATTCTATTGTATATTCTATATCCTTATTCTATTCTATTCTAATTTCTATTCTAATTTCTATTCTATTCTATTCTATTCTATTCTATTCTATTCTATTCTATTCTATTCTATTCTATTCTATTCTATTCTATATTCTTATTCTATTCTAATTTCTATTCTTTCTATTATATTCTAATTCCTATTCCTATTCTATTCTATTCTACCTCGAATTGTTTGGTCCTAAAATGACATTAACACCCCCATCCCCCATCCCAAGGTTTTTGACGGGATGAAAAAGATAGCAATCTCATTTGCGAGGGAGTCTTGGCTCACTGTATTTCTTTTTTCAGCTGGTGAAAAGTCTATTTTCACCTCTTTTTGCTACCGCCTCTCGATTCCTCTTCGCCCATCTTCACAAAGACGTCCTCAGATGACAAGGCTCAAAAAAGGCGCAATCAGCAGATGAGAGACTACAAGGAGTTCTCAAGGCAGAATCATTTATTTCGGGACCAAAGCTACAACGGTACTAAAAAAAAAAGAAAATGCGACTTATGACTGGTCCTCCCAGTTATGGCCATGCAACACCCTCGTTTCCATGCTCACGTGATCAAAATTCTGGCGTTTAGCAACCAGCTTGTATTTACGAAGGTTTCAGCATCCCTGGGTCATGTGATCATCATTTGCAAGCTTCCCATCTGATGTCTGACGGGCAGTCACCACGGGGCTGGACTAGAAGACCTCTAAGGCCCCTTCCAGATTCTATTCTATTCTATTCTATTCTATTCTATTCTATTCTATATTTTATTCTATATTCTATTCTATTCTCAATAAAAGATTTCTAATTCTATTCTATTCTATTCTATATTTTATTCTATATTCTATTCTATTCTCAATAAAAGATTTCTAATTCTATTCTATTCTATTCTATTCTCTATTCCCTATTCTGTTCTATTCTATTTTCTATTCTATTCTTTATTCTCTCTTCTCTTCTCTTTTCTCTTCTCTTCTCTATTCTGTTCTATTTCCTATTCTGTTCTATTCTATTTTCTATTCTTTATTCTCTCTTCTCTTCTCTTCTCTTCTCTTCTCTTCTCTTCTCTTCTCTTCTCTTCTCTACTCCCTATTCTGTTCTATTCTATTCTCTATTCTTTTTTCTCTTCTCTTCTCTTCTCTTCTCTTCTCTTCTCTATTCCCTATTCTGTTCTATTCTATTTTCTATTCTATTCTCTATTCTGTTCTATTCTATTCTCTATTCTATTCTTTTCTCTTCTCTTCTATATTCCCTATTCTGTTCTATTCTATTTTCTATTCTATTCTCTATTCTGTTCTATTCTATTCTCTATTCTATTCTTTTCTCTTCTCTTCTATATTCCCTATTCTGTTCTATTCTATTTTCTATTCTTTTCTCTCTTCTCTCTTCTCTTAAGTGTGCTTCAGTTAACCACTGCACTGCTTGGCTTAACAATCATGGCAAAACATTGTAAAATTGACCGTCTCATTTAACAACCGCCCTGCTTAGCAACGGAAATTTTGGTTGCAGCTGCCATCGTTAAGCCTGGGATTAAGTCTTAATTTACTCAGCCTAAAGCACCCCTTGAAGACCGTTGAAACATCTTGGGGTATTGTTGATGGATTGATGTTTATCCCTTTTGGGGAAGTGGGAAGTGTCAGCGGATGACATTAATTTTTTTTAAAAAACAAAATCCCACGGAAAGCAAAATATTGCAATAATGCGAACAAGAAACTACAGCAGGGAGGTGGGAATCTTAGCAACGATCAAGCAGCCTCAAAATGACATGGGGTGGTGGGTATTTTGGAGGAGAGAAGAGGGTGGGGGGCTTTAGTAAGGGGGGGTGGGGTTCCCCTCTTTGCAGAATATCCTTGAAAACAAAATCCACAAAGTATCTTCTGAGTGGTTCAGTCCGCAGCTGCTGCTGTTTTTCTTCGGGACTGATAGCCGAAAAAAGAGGAGTTAAAAGTTTCTGAAAGTTTTTTTTTTAAAAAAAAAAATCTTAACTTTTAGGGTTTCCTCTCTAGAAAGTGAACTCTTTTCAGCCTGTTTTCCATGTTCCTAACTCACACTTTTTTTTTTTTCTGTGCCAGTCAGGAAGGTGTGTGATGGTTCGGGATCCCGAATCTTGCAGCTGAGTTGCACTGACTCTCTCTCTCTTTCATTGGCTGGGCTGCGGAGAAGAATGCCTGCGGCTGTCCAATCAGCTACAGAGAAGGGAAAAGTCACGGGGAAAATCTGGAAAAGCCATGCTTCTAATTTTTTTGAGGGGGGGTGTAAGTGGTGGTGGCCTTGTAGAACTGGACAAGATGGGCTTCAATTGTTGCAAAGGAAGGAGGGGGCAGAAGAAGATCCCCAAGGAGCTTTTTAAAAGAGGGGAACACCCCCCACTGCAAAAGAGACCCCAAATGCCCAAAGGATGAAGAAAAAAAATGTGTCGGGCTCCATTCCCGCAGAAGAAGGATGGAGAAGCAGATCCTTCAAAGAGGAGGAGATGGAACTCAAGAATAACTAGAAAAGGGGATCAGGATCTCTGGAGGCTGTCAGCAAATGGAGAACCTCAATTTCCCCCCCCCCCCTCCAGGGCTTCAAGCCACACCAGCTTTGGAGACAATACCCTCCCCGCCAGCAAAGGGAAAATGGGCCTGTTGCTAAGCAACCAGGCCCTTGCAAGAAGGTTCAGGTGTGCTCAGCGTCGTGGGCTTCTCTGCCCCTCTACTGCCCCCAGCCGCCCTCGGACCTTCCTGCGCCCAGCCTCGACGGCTCTCCCCACCACCCCCCAATTTGGGATGGTGGAATTGTCACGTTGGCCTGCGATGGGGAGCCCAGCAAGGGAGGAGGGTGCCAGGGGCCTCTGAGGGCCTGCAGAGTGCTGCAGGGTGGGCTGCTTGCCTGCATCGCAAGCCGAAGGACCCCTGGCCCCCTCCCTCTCCTACGCCTCTTCCCTGCACCCCAGCTGAAAGCAGCGAGCAAGCAAGCAAGGAGAGAGAGAGAGAGAGAGAGAGAGAGAGAGAGAGAGAGAGAGAGAGAGAGAGAGAGAGAGAGAGAGAGAGAGAGAGAGAGAGAGAGCTGGCTTCCGGCTGCATCGGAGGTAATTATCAGCCACATGCCAGATGTTCCCAGCCGGTGCCAATGTCATGAGAAATAAATCCCAGGAAGGTTCAAGGCCTCCGCTGGGTGGCTTCAGCTTCAGCTGCTCAGCCAAGAGCAGAAATGGCTCCCCAATTGAGCAGCCCCTTATTTTAGAGCAGGGGTCTTCAAATTTGGCAACTTTTAAGACTTATTTTAGACCAGGGGTCTTCAAATATGGCCCTTTGATGACTTGTGGACTTCAACTCCCAGAATTCCTCAGCCAGCATGGACCACATAGGCCAGGGGTCTTCAAATGTGGCCCTTTGATGACTTGTGGACTTCAGGTCCCAGAATTCCT